GGGTTTGAACCACCAGCCTTCTGGTTAGCAGTCAGGTGCTTTAGGCACTACGCTACCAGAGCTCCTAAGGGAACACTACATGGTGTAAAATCAAGAAAGGGGTGCGTTAGGGTTGTATCCTTTCCCCATACTTATTCAATCTATATGCTGAGCAAATAATCTGAGAAGCTGGACTGTATGATGAAGAACGTAGCATCAAGATCGGAGGAAGAATCATTAACAACCTGAGATATGCTGACGACACAACTTTGCTTGCTGAAGGTGAGGATGACTTGAGGCACTTAATGATGAAGACTGAAGACGACAGTCTGCAGTATGGATTACATCTCAATATAAAGACAACAAAAATCCTCGCAACTGGACCCATAAACAGCATCACGATAAATGGAGAAAAGATTGAAGTTGTCAAAGACTTCACATTGCTTCGTTCTACAAACAACACCAATGGAAGCAGCAATTAGGACATCAGACAATGCATAGCACTGGGCAAGTCGGCTGCAAAGGACTTCATTCAAGTGCTGAGAAGCAAAGATATCTCCCTGAGGACTAAGGTGCGCCTGACACAGCCATGATATTTTCAATTGCCTCATATGCATGTGAGAGCTGGACAATGAATAAGGAAGACTGAAGAAAAATTGATGCTTTTGAGTTGTGGTGCTAGTGAAGAATGCTGAAAGTACCACGGACTGCTAAAAGAACTAACAGATATGTCCTGGAGGAAGTGTAGCCAAAAATCTCCTTGGAAGCAAGAATGGAAAGACTTTGTCTCACCTACTTTTGTCATGTTGTCAGAAGGAACCATTCCCTGGAGAAGGATGTCATGTTTTGTAAGGTGGAGGGTCAACAAAAGAGGGGAAGACCTTCAATGAGATGAATGGATACGGTGGTTGCTACGATGCGCTTAAGTATAGGAAGGATTGTGGAGCTGGCGTGGGATCGGGCAGTGCTTCGTTCTGCTGTGCATAGGGTCGCTGTGAGTTGGAAATGACTCAGCACCTAACAACAACAAACAACAACAGCTCTTCATAGTATCCTGATATTATCCTTTTCATTTCAGTTGGTTCTGTTATTAATGTCACCCATTTCATTTCTTACTCGTGCTATCTGTATTCTCTCCCTCTTTTCCTTTTAGTCTGCCAGCGGTTTGTCAATTTTATTAATCTTTAAAAAAACCAAACTTCTGGTCTTGTTGATTTTTTTCTATTGTCTTTCTATTTTGTTTCATTGATTTCTGCTCAAATCTTTATTATTTCCTTTCTTCTGGTGACTGCTGGCTTTTCTTTTCTTTTTTTTATTGTGATTTGAGTGAAGATTTACAGAGCAAATTCGCTTTCCATACAGTTCACATATACTTTCTCTCATGTCACTGACCACAGTTTACCACAATGCAATAGCTCCCCTCTCGCTTCCTCCCCATAGTTACCTCTTCCCAGTGTCCATCCCTCCATACTCTCTTGCCCCCTGAGCTGTCTCCCTGTGCATAAGCAGCCCTTCTTTCTCCCATGATTGTTCTCT